TAGCTCTCATTGGGGAGAGGCAATGTAGCTTTCACTGAATTCATGTATCCTTTGCAATGTCTAGGTTTGCCCCCCAGGTATTCCGAAGTGCAAATATGTCAGTATAAGCCTGTGTGGCCTTGAGGTTCAAGCTGCATACTCCCAGGGCGCCCCCAGAAGGGAAGGGTAAATCACCTCTGAGTACTCTCTACCTGGAAAACCCTGGAAAGGATAGCCATAAGTCAGAATTGACTTGATGGTTTATCATCATCATCACTGTGTGGTATTGGATGACAATAACCTCTGAATGTTTAAACTAAATGGCAATACACTGCAAAGAAAAGTATAACAGAACTAGTTTGATCCATTCCACAAGGCAGAACCAACCTGCTCTCAGCTATTACTGGAGTATTGTATTTTTCTAAGATGTCTTTCTCTCACATAGCAGATGAGGTGATAAGCCTTTGTCTGGACTGTGTGACTTTAGTTTTTGCAGATAGAATACTTTCTTCCCTGTTTCCTCCCCAACAACATTTGAAGGCCCAAATATTTCCCTCCCCTGATTGGAACTGCCATAATTTGTAAAACGGGATTCAGACTATGACTACTGATTGCAAGAATACAGTACCTATCAGGAGAAAAAGTGTACATGGAAATCTGGGAATTCCCTGGCCGTTTTGACTCGAGGAAGCTGCTGTCAAACCATCAAGGGCCCTGTTTGTTGCAGGAGAAATGTCCAGCATTTTCTCACCATTTTATGCTGAGTAAAATCTTTTACAAAATCATCAGAGCTTAGAAAATGAAATTAAGTAAAGATATTATATAAGATATTATATAATACTTCCAGTATTATATTAATTTTTTCAAGAGTTATGTAACCATACCAAAAATGCCCCACAACAGTGGAATTGGACTAATACATTATTAACGACTAACAGGATGAAAGTCTTATCTCCTCAAACGTTACTGGCATCAATTAGCATTAGCAATAGCATTTCCAAATTCTGAGTCATGAAGTTCTGAATATACTTTTGGGTGTGCTGACTTTGGGTGTACCTACACAGAAGCACCAAGAGAGAACAGAAAGTCTTAGGGTGTATTTCTTTGTTTCCTACAGGTATCTATCTCCATATAAATGTTTTCCTAATCACATTCCTATTCCTGTACATACACCAGAGAGGCCATGTCATTGTAGCAGATACACAAATACTATCACTTTGAGGGGCCGTTCAGTAGATTTAAAAGTGGCAGGGCTGGTGCTCTTTCTCTGACTGCACATCTGCTTCCTGTCTCTTCTGCCGTTCTATCCCTTCCATTTAGGAGACTCGGGAGCTTGAGGGCCTTGCTCTCCATGGCTTTGAATTCCATGAGAGAAGCTGGAAACTGTGATAAACAAACAAACAAACAAAAAAGGAGCAATGCTTCTCATCTCTGAGGAGACTATAGGCAATGATCCTCATCCCAGCAGACCCATTGCATCTTTCAAGCCAAGGCTCCAAAGGATGGAACCCGGGAGACCTCTCCTCCTCCCTTAGCCACTTGTCAGGTCAGAAGGAGCTCAGTGTAGGCAGACACGGGGCCTGGCACTCGGGAGGGAAGACGTCACACAACACCCAAGGAGTCTTTAAAATTCTTTCCCACAAGCTGGGAGGACTATCAGTCAGTTATCAGTGGTATAAAAGAAATTGTAATATATAGTCAATTGATGGTGTGTGTTTTAAGTTATTTGACTTAGTAAGCTGTCAGTTTTCATAGGACTTACTTCCAAGTAACTTCCATTACAGTTGTTCCTATAAGAAACAATCCCATCTTTTTTTCTTTTTTAAAAAAGGATATCTTGAAACAGGTTTTCACCTATCTGTATGGTTGCACTTTTAATGCATCTTGTAACCATCCCAGCCCTGTGTTGTAACTCCCATAATTCCTTGCCATCAGCTATGCTGACTTAGAGGCGTTTCGGTCCAACAGCTAGGCAACCATCTCCTGCTGTAATGGAGCCCTTGCTAGAGCATTGAACAGGAAGGAGGAACAGAGGAACTGATATATTTCTCTCCCTTCTTTTTGTGTGCAGATTTGCAGACAGCATGGCTGTTAGCAACCCTCTCTTCAGCCTGTTCTGAGTGCCTTCTTGGGAAGCCAGATCCAGAACTGCCACAGCATTCTTGTGGTGGCAGATATTAGGCGCTGCAAGCTGTTGTGCATTAAGGGCCAACATTTATCTTGTAACAATAAACTGGGTCTTGATGCAACCATCGTCTGTTTCCACTGTAAGGTGGTGGGAGGCGTGACCTATAAAGGCACTCTTGTGCTATCTGGTTTGTCAACCGCATGGATCCCTTAGCAATAAAAAACTCCACATGTTCAAACTCTCCTCTGTCTGGACATTTGCACTGCTGTGGGCAGACTCTGTGTGTGAGTGAGTGAGTGTGAGTGTGAGTGAGTGTGAGATAGAGACAGAGATTACATGCACATCCCAAGGGCTGAGTTCATTAGCAACGGCCTGTTCTTAGCTTGCCTTGTTATTTTAACTATTTATTTGAACTGTCATTCTAGCCAGTGAAAAGAGGCAGGAAGTAGGGCAACGCCACCAAATGTGCTCCTGAAGGATAAATAGCTATTTTCTTCTTTTATGTGCATCCCCTTTTCCATCCTTTCAGACTGTAAGCCTGTGGACAGGGACTAGCTTTTTTTCTTTTTAAACTGATTCTATATAGTCCAGCTGGAAAGCTCAAGGAGTTGGGTATGGTGAGAAGTTTGATTCCTCACGGTGCCTCCTAGGAGCAGAGCCAGGCTCTGTAGCCTTGAGCAAGCTGCAGGGACCCAGGGTCCCCTGGAAGAAGGCACTTCTGAGTACACTCAATCAGAAAACCACAGAAAGAACCACAGTAAATCAGAATAAACTTAATGGCATGGAAGGCGACTACCACTACTACTGAAACGGCCTTTTCAGCTGAGCAGCAGCTAAAATACACTAATACTACATTTTGTGTCTATTTACAGCTATGTGGCCCTGTATACACCATGTAACACAAAAATAAACTGCCATCAAGCTAGAATTTGCATTGTTTCAATGGACAAGGCTCACACTGGTTGTGCATTTTCCTCCGAGGTGTTATAGCTGAACATAATGCATGTTAGGAGACACAATAAGAGATAAATTAGCTAACCGCTGCTCATAGATCTCTTACGTTGTCCTGTATTTATGCACTCCCCTTCTACATTTTGCACTGTAACAAGGATGTATACAGTTCTGGTTGCCGCACCTCATAAAAGACATTGTGGAACTGGAAAAGGTGCAGAAGTGACTAAAGTGATGACTGGGCTGGGGCACCTCCCTTGTGAGGAAAGGCTACAGCATTTGGGGCTCTTTAGAGAAAAGGTGCCTGAAGGGGGATATGCTTGAGACGCAGGGGATGGATAAAGTGGATAAAGGGAAGCTCTTTTCCATTTCACACAATACCAGAACCAGGGGACATCCACTCAAATTGAATGTTGGAAGAGCGAAAACAGACAAAAGAAAATTTCTTCACCCAGTGTGTTGTTAGTCTGTGGAACTCCTTGCCACAGGACGTGGTGATGGCATCTGGCCTAAAAGGGGATTGGACAGATTCCTGGAGGAAAAGTCCATCGCAGGTTACAAGCCATGATGGGGACGTATAATCTCCAGGCTTAAAAGGAAGGTACCTCAAAATGCCAGATGGAGGGGAAGGGGGATCAGGAGACAGGTCTCTAGTCTCGTGTGCTCCCAGAGGCATCCGGTGGGGCCACTGTGGGATACAGGAAGCTGGACTAGATGGGCCCTTGGCCTGATCCAGCAGGGCTTTTATGTTCATAACATTTCTGTGACAAGGCCAACTAGGATGTGAACAAAAAGCTGTGCAAAGGCACACCTATGCCTGTAGTCAGGCATGTGTGCTTGTTTTCAACAGATCCACAGAAATATAGCCTGATTTAATAGAGTAATGCCGATAAATATTTAGGTAGCCACTAGACAAAATTTGTTCTCAACTAGAAGACATGTTTATGGGTATCAAAGCTGAACTTGTGAACAGACTTTCTGCCTCATTTTCCTATTTGGATGGCATAAAAGCCACTGTTTCCCATCACAGAGTAGAAAACGTTACTTTTTGGAGGTACAAATCCTAGAAACCTCCAGCGGACAAGGCCATTTAATTGTGGGTAGCAGATACTATCTTAGATGTTCTTGTCTCCTCTCCTGTATCCCTCTTGCTCCCACGTCACTTCCCCAGGAAGCAGCCCTCTTCTAAGGAAGGAAATCCTGTTGTATCACATATAAGCAATATCTAAAAACCTGGTATGTTTTTCACCTGCTCAAAAGTGTTCATATTCACATGGATGCAGGTTAAATAGCAATCAAACCTGTACATGAATCATACAACACTATCATTCTACACATGCTTGAGCCAGGAATAAGTCCCATTGCGTTCAGTGGGGCTTATTTTTAAATCAATGTGCATAGGGTTGCAGCCCAGAATTTCTTATTTGAGCAACAGCCCTAATCAGTCATACAATTCTCAGAAATAATTCCACATTCCACATATGCAATGGGAGGCCAGGAAGTGGAGGGAGAGAAACTAAATGTTAAAGTGCAGAGCACAGAAGAAAAATATTCAACAATGTAGTAGAAAGTGATCTTTAATATATAATTTATATATATATATACACACAAAAGAAAAAAAAAGAGTACCAAATAAGTGCCATATCACCCACTCCACTCACACACCTCCCCCAAAGAATACAACTGAGCCACTGTAGCAGTAACCATAGAGAGGCTGGGGAGAGCTGGGCTGCGTGGTTTGTTCCCCCTCCCCCTGCAAAATCACTTTTCTCTTCCCACACAGCCTACTCAAGGTAGGTACCAATAATGCACAGGTTAAGCACAGGGGCAGCTGCTGCCCATTAAAAACAAACGTTTCATTTAAAACATTTAAAGCAATAAAAGTGTTTTTTAACCATCCACAAAATTTAAAAAAAACCCAACATTTTCCCAACTTCCTGTTTTCTTCTTTTTGTAAAAAAGTAACTTCATATAGATTTATTTCTTTTCTGCATTAAAACACTTTTGTTTTCCCTTCATTTATCTGCCTATAAAGAAACAGAGACTGAACAACACTTCTCTTGTCTTCCCCTGGCCTGGATGTTCACCATTAGATGCCGCAGAGAGCATTAGAGCGGAACAAAAGGAACTCTGTCCTCCAGGAATCTTTGTTCTAGCGATGGAATCCCACTTGGGTGGGGGCAGGGCAGGGACAGTCCTTGGCCAGTGGTGGAGTCAGTGTAGCAAACTCCGGCAGGAGGACACCCCTGCAGATGTGCTTGGAGTCCTATCTGGCCAAGAGGTGCTCTTGAAGATAAAAGGTGGTCAAAACATGGATGCAGCATTTCCAAAATGGCTGCCACAGCTGGACTAATCCCTGCAACATCAGGGAGGCTGGTGGCACTCAGTGGGGAACCTGCCCTCTCCCGTCTGTCTGGGAGCTGTTCCCACATCCAAAGACACAACCGGAACCTGTCATTTTCAAACAGAACGTCTTCCAGCGCACTATTACCACACACTCTTTTCCCACTATAGGATCAATAATTCTTTTAATAAAAAACCAAAGCAGAGATGTGCAAATGTGTGTGTGTGGGGGGGAAGGTTCTTTCTGGACTACAACTCCCAGAATTCCCTGGGCTATCTGGAAACACAAATCTGCCCACCTCCAATGCAAAGGCAAAGCCTCAGGAGGACCAAAGAGTACCTGCTAAGATAGACTGCATCCCCACTCATCACATTTGCTAAAAAAAAATATTTACTAAGAGAACACCAGTTTTTTTCTCTGTCACCCAAGGCTTAATTTTCTCCAACTTGCACTTAGTCATTCATAAACTATGCTCTGGCTTTGCTGATTTGTCCGCTTTCTCCATCCACCTTCTTCCTCAGACACACCAGGAAGTCAGGCTCTGGCCTAGATTGTTCAACACTCTTACCTAGAATAACTATCCCAGCTAAGAATGGGCAGGGGGGACAGTGAGAGAGTTAAGGTGGCTTTTCATATGCAATTTGAAAAAAATGGTAGATTCCCTTCCCTTTTGGCCACCCAGGCAAAATAATAATAATAATAATAAATTAAAAGGGGGGGATGCAGAAGGACCACCCATTTGAATCTGGAGACAGAGGGATCCATGAGGAAATTAGGAGCAGTAGGGGGAGACTTGGCACTTAGTAGCGAAAGGCCCACAAGGATGTACTGGAAGGAAGAACTTTGTTCTTTCTTCCTATTCCAGGCAAGAGCCCCTCTTAAAATATCTTCTTCTTCAGAATCTCCCTTCTGCAAGGAGGCTGCAAACAAGGTGTGCGCAAAAACCCACTGTCCCCTAACAACAGGCAACAAAGTCCAGTAGATCTCGGTAGGGAGGACACCTCTCTCCCTAGTTTATACGAAAGAGGCAGTAGCAGAGGAGGTGGCAGGAACAAGGGCCATTCCCTGCCTTCTCTTTGGCATCAAACCCACATAACCCAAGGCCCTTTTCTTGGGAGCAGACAGTCCGTGCTCGTCCCAATGCCCCTGAGTTCTTGACCAGCGCAGCAATTTGGCAAATGAGAACTGTATCCCAAAAGACAACCCCTTTGCCGCAAAGGAAAGACGCATTCTCAAACTTCACAGTGAGTTGTGGGTAAGAGAAGGACAGATCGACAAGAGTGGCTGTCGCTGAGGGATGAAAAGAATAAAAAATGCTTCAGGGAACGAGTCATTTCCGTACTAAGAACAGTGCGGCGGCTGCACTTTCTGAATGTCCTGGCAAAGGGTCCCTCTCCAAAACAGACAGTGCTGGAGATGGGGAATAGCCTCCCCCACCAATACACACACACCTGATGAAAGCACATGCCAGATTTGTGGAACCAAAAACATAAAACAGGTGGGCCTTTCAGCCTGGCTGCCATTTCCCCCTTGCCAGGTTCTCTGGCCAATCCTCAAAGAGGCAGAAGGTTTGCAGTGAAGAATTTGCTTCCCTTATTCCAGAGTAGCACCCATATGGGCCCAAAAGAGGACACTCCAAGATTAGGCTTTGCTCCCAATAAATTAAAAATAAAGTCTCTGATGGGGTAAAATGGCCCTCCTCTTTTTTTCAACATGACTGAGGATCTCATTTCAGGAGGTTTCAAGGAGAGGGTATTCCCTTTTAGCAGGGTGTGAATGAAATCCAGAGGGGAGAGAGAGAGGGAGAGAGAGAGACAAAGAGACAGAGAGAGAGAACCAATCAACCCCATGGTGCCTAAGCCCAGCTTCAGAGGTCCTTTGGTGGCAGAAGGCTCTCGCTAACTGGAGGGGCCGCCGTTCAGGAAATAGGTGGTCATCTCGCCTTTGCCTTTGACCTTGATAACCCCGCGACATTCCAGTTGATAACCTTTGGCTGCCAATACTTGGTAGAGGTCGGTTGTCACCTAGGAAGAAAAAGGGAGACACAAAGAGACAGAGCAGAAGTGAGTGTGCAGCCTCAAACAAATGCTCTCTATTTTTCATTCACGCCCTAGTTCATTCATTCGCTGCTTTTATTGGCCTTTTTTCCTCCAATGAGCTCAAGAGAGTATATGTGTCTCTTCTCTAGTTCTCTTCATCCCCACAAGAACCTTGCGCTATAAGAGCCTCGTGGCGCAGTGGTTAAAACGCTATACTGCAGCTAAAACTGTGCTCACGACCGGGGGTTCAAATCCCAGGTAGCCGGCTCAAGGTTGACTCAGCCTTCTATCCTTCCGAGGTTGGTAAAATGAGTACCCAGCTTGCTGGGAGGGCAATGTGTAGCCTGTATAATTAAATTGTAAACCGCCCGGAGAGTGCTTGTAGCGCTATGGGGCGGTATATAAGTCCAAAAATAAATAAATAAAATAAATAAGACTGGCTTACAGTCATCCAGCGACCTCCCATTTGAGTGGGGATTAGAATCTGATTCCAAATTCCCAGTCACTTTGGCATCACACTATCTTATTATCTCTAGCAGATATTTTTATTAGTCTAGTGTCCTCATTCTAATTGGTGGAGATGGGAGTTGTTGTCCAACCATGGAGAATGCTGAATTGCAGGAGGTTGCTCTGGTGGTATCTAACACATGAAATTCACTTATGAATTAAATATGTGAAGATATGACAGTCATTACCTTGGACAGCTGTGTGTGTTTTTAAAGAAGGACAGATTTATGGAGCTCAAGTCTTGTGCATGGCAATCAGCTGTAACAACTAAGTAGAACCTCTATATTTAGAGGCAGTCTACCCCTAGACACCATAGGCAGGCAAGAAGGGCTCCTGACTTCACAGGCTATTTCTTGGAAGATTCTTGTAGGCCACCCTAAGAAAGAAGGGGCTACTCAGGATGGATTTCTGTTCTGACCTAACAAGAGAGCCTTTATACTCCTGATGTATCCTGATTGTTTAAAATCAGACAGTGCAGCAAGCATTAGGGGTGCAGCCTCCCCATATACATATGTATTTATTTGAAATGGGTGCAAATGGCCATATGGTCATTAAGGCAGTTCAAAACAAATAAAGAAAGAGCAGAAACAGCCACTCTTCCCTCTTACTGGAGGCTCCTCCAAACAGAGATACCAATTCCCACAGCAGTGCCATCCACCTGAAAACTGCCAGGAAAATCTGGCAGCAGTTAACAATTATAGCCAGAAGAAGCCAATATGGGGAGACAGGCCCTATTTCCCTGACTGTACACTTAAGCATGGGGCCCCTCCTACAGGAAAAAAAAAGGGATGCATAGAGGATACAACAAAATCTTCCCGCCAAGTACAGTAGTCGTAAAGCTGTTTTCTGCCTTCCTCTTCAAACAAAACATTTATTTTATTTATCTATTTAAAATATTTTTATCCCACCCTTCTCCTTAGAAAGAACCCAAGGTAGGGAAGGTGGCAAATTGGGGAATGGCCTTTCCTGTGGTAGCCCCACACTTACTTCAAGAATGCTTGCCCCGTAGAATCCTACCTGCCTTTGACCTTGCCATCTTTTCCATCCCAGGGAAAGACATACTTCTTTCCCCCAGACATTTGGAGTTCAGTTAGGTCTGACCGCTGTCTTTGTGGTTTAATTATTTTCTCCTGGACCTTAAACTTTTCAGGGAAAGATTATTTAGAGGCACAGGCAGCTTGTGACAGAATAAGGAAAGCACCCTAAATGTTGCAGTCCACAAGCCAACCTGCTTCAAGGCTAGATGCTGTTATGTGTCGTCACGTTCCCTCTGTCTTAGGGCGACCCTATGAATGAGCAATTCTCCAAAAACGTCCTGTCCTCTCAACAGCCCTGTTCAGCTCTTGCAAAACAAATGACTGTGGCTTCCTTCAGGGAGTCAAGACTAGATACTGGCAGCTTTAATCATGGTCAAAACCGATCACATCACAACTGCTCTACCTGAATGCGGTCCGGGACACCGGTACTGTCCATTCGGCTTGAGACATTCACAGTGTTGCCCCAGATGTCATACTGTGGTTTTCGAGCTCCAATTACTCCAGCCACCACTGGCCCAATATTTAGCCCTATAGGGGAAGGAAAATACCGTTAATATGGGAGATGGGGAAAGAGGGAATGAACCAAACTAGTCAAGATTGAGCAGCCAACATGTTTATCTTAAGCAGAGCTTAGAGCAAGCACAGCGACTGACGTTGCTGGCTGCGGGGATTCTGGGAGTCCAAAAAAGGTTAATTTCCCACCCCACCCCAACTCTGATCATAAGATCATCTGCCCCTACTATGCAAATGATCCCCCCACCCCTGCTTCCAAACTCCACTGACCAATCTTCATTTGGAAGTTGTTGAAAGAATGTTCATTGATGTATTTCATCTGTTCCATGAGTCGCATAGCATAGTCTGCGAGTGCGGTAATGTGGGAGCGACCTTCGCGGTCATAGGTGCTGTCATTCAGTCCTGATGCTGCCATGTAAGTACTGCCAATAGTCTTGATCTTCTCCAACTGTCTGAAGGGTTCATCGCTGATGATCTAAAGACAAAAAGAAGACCTGCTTTGGTAAATGCTGTAAGAGGTCACTTTACATCACTGTTTCAGAAGATTCCTGAATAACAGATTCTGTTCTGCTTCCAAAGTTCAACAAGCAATAGTTATCTGTAATAATACTTAGATGCTGTCATTTCTAGACATGGGAGCTTTGTATTCGTATCCTGGGAGATACGAATACAAAGCTCAGTGCCACAGATGCCACAATGGTCCATTCCCAGAACCAGCCTGGTCCACTCACTGGGCTCCTCACAGCATGCGCGTGTCTGAATGTACCAACAGTGCAATGATTGTGGGCACTGCCCTGCCTCTCCCCCACAGCCGACTGCTCTGGTGAGGAGGTAAGAAGAGGAGTCTCCCAGCTCAGCTGCTGAGCAGTTGGTTGAGGGGAGAGGTGGGGCAGCGCCAGCAGGAAGAGACCCACAATCAGTGCCATGTTGCCACCATTGGACACAAGCACTGTAAGCAGCCCAGTGAGTGGACCAGGCTGGTTTGTGGAGGGAGGGGCAGAATGGACCGCCGTGGCCTTGTGGTGCCAAGCTTCATATTTGTATCCCCCAAGATACAAATACGAAGCTCCCCTGTCTAGTCATTTCCAATTTCTAGTGACCCCATTCTGGAACTTCCTAGGTAAAAAGTACTCCTAAATGGTTTACCCTTCCCTTCTTCTGGGGGCACCCTGGGACTGGCCCTTCTCCCTGGAGGCACAAAAGGGAAACAAACTCTCCTCCGGTTCTGCAGCTAGTTACTCAGCTCATTGAGCTATCCAGCCAGCTAATTGTTATCTATGCAGAAGGCCAACCCCATCCTAGGAGACTGTTGTCCAGTGGTCTCCCACACTTCCTAGCCCAGCAATGGCAAAGCTATGGCACGCGTGTCACAGCTGGCACACCGAGCCCTCTCTGTGGGCATGCGAGCCATAAGTTGCCATCAAGAAATACTTAGCTGTCCTCCGATCCCGGATTTTGGCACGCTCCTCTGCTGGCGCAGTGGTCCAGCAGAGGGGTGCAATGGCGACCATTACTGGTGTAGCCCAATGGGGGATTGGAGGACCAGTAAGTATTTCTTTGTTAATACCGCCCATAGGAAAAACAACAACAACAACAACAACAACAACAACAACAACAACAACAACAACAACAACAACAAGCATTTAACCCTTGCAGTGCAGGGGCAGTTGCTTTTTCTAAACTAAAACCTCAGCATTTGGGTTTTAATTGCAGTGTTGGCACTTTGAAATCAGTAAGTTGATTTTCTGTTGCAGTTTGGGCACTCGGGCTTAAAAAGGCTCACCATCACTGTCCTAGCCTTTAGCAGACCCACAAAGGTGAGGAAAAGAGGACACTATGATAAATGGGTATCTTTCGCCACTTGAGAGAGCAAGTCTTGTAAGTAAGTGCAGAACGTATTGTCTCATTTGACCCTCAGGAGAACACCACATGTTATAGACACATTGTGCTTAGAAAAGGAGAATTCCATACTAACAGAAGCCTCTGAGTGTCACAGCAGTAGTTTCTCTCAACTCCAGGAATGTGCTTTGTTTTGTGATTGGTCTTCAGGTTTTAAGAACAAGATTTCTATGAAATGAAAAACTGTCTCTCACCAACATTAATGTGCTTTTAACTCTACATATGGGTATCCATTTCTGACCTCAGACAATCTCATTTTGAGCTGCTGGGTGATTAAAATACCTCCCAGATTTTGGAGCTCCCTCCCACAGGAGGCCAGGCTGGCCCCATCTTTGCTGTCCTTCCACAAGCAGGCAAAGATCCTTCTATTCAGGCATGATTTCCCTCAATGACTAGCTGTCTAGGAAGGGTTTCTAAAGGGGAAGGTTAGTACTTTTATTGCTATGGAATCTATTTTTATAGTAATGTTTTTATCTAACATTTTAAATATAATTTTTATTTAATTCTTTTAAAATATTTGAATAACCTATTATTTTTAGCTTTCATATACTGTCTTTTTAAATGATGTATGCCACCATGTGCCCTTTTTCAGGAGAAATGAAGGGTAAAATATTTTAAATAAATAAATAACAGAAGACTTTTTTTGTGGGGGAAGGGTGGTGCAATCTTGTTGTCTGAATCTCAGTGTTACTCCTGGAAGAAAAGCATGGTCTCTCTTGCCCCCATGAGTCTTCTGGTGCCTCCTGCTTTCCAAATGTATGGTGAAGACACACAGTTACCTCATCAAAGTCAGCAATGATCTCATTGAGCAGCCGCAGACATTCGACACCCTCATTGTTGGCTTCTAACTCCACATAGAACTCGGAGAAGTTGCTAATTGAAGCAAACATGACAGCGACGCATTCGCAGGACTGGTGGTATAACTCATCGTTGAGCCGCTCACGGGCAAGGAAATGCGCAGCCACATCTTTAGGCAAGATATTATGCAGCAGCCGCCGATTATAGGCCTGCAGCTCTTCCATTTCCTCCTTCTCGCCTGTAGCCTGGGAGAAGTTGTGAGGAAGGAGGAGAAAGTAAGGACACCCACCCTCTGTGCACTCTATCCTGTGACTCAGTTAAATCATAGTCCTCAGGGGCTTAACATTATATTGCCTACCTTTTGGTCTTCCATGCTTCGTGTCACCCTTCCTGAATTTTTACCATCTAGTGCAGTGCTCAGGGAACAGGGGTAAATTACCCCAAATGGGGTAAAGATGAAAATCCTGGGGGTAATGAGGATGAGCAGAGCCCCAATATTGATGTTCTCATATCCAAGATGAAGCAACATCATTTCTCCAAAACCTGAAGTTTTCAAGTAAGTTGAAGCTTTCAAAGTAATTTTGAATAGTTTCAATAAGATTTTGAATTCAAATAATGTATTATTTCCTTCCTTTCAAATCAAGGGGGTAATGTTGACGTATATAATTTTTTTGGGGGGGGGGGGGGGAAAAGGTAAAAAAGTTTCCTGACCCCTGATCTAGTGTGATGAAGAGTTAGGCAGAATTCAAAAGCTTGCACATCTTTGTGGGTTTGTAGTTTTGTACGCATGTGAACTCTGAGTTACAGTTTGATTCCCATGGATTTAACCCAATAGTCCCAGTTTTTAGAGCAACAGAAATGGATTCCCCATCCCAGCCCTACTTTATATGGCTGAAATGAAAAAAGCTGCAGTACCCACAGATGGATTGTTGTACAGGAGGAGGACTGTGAGCAACAGTACTCCAAAGAAATCCCTAAGCTCAGAATATTTTAATTATACATTTTTTGCAACAGACTGCATATGGAGCAGAAGTACAATATATATTAAAAAGCTGAAGTCTGCTCACCTCTAAGCTATACTATCCTTTTAATGCCTTTGGGACACCACATTTTATTGTTTAATATATTAACATGTGCTTTCAAAGGTGGTAAAGCTTTGAATTCTGTTGCTTAGATCACACTAAAGTAGGCTCACTGAATCATTAAGTCAACTCCTTCGTAAGTTCTGCTTTCAAATAGGCCTTCTCTAGTTGTGATTTACTACACTGAAGTAAATTGCACCTTGAGTAGGACCATTTGAATCAACAGAATTCATAGAGTTCAAATCCCTACTAATTCAGTGGGTTACTCTAGTGTGAGTTACTACAATAAGCAACAAGATTTCGGCCATTATATCTATTTAGCAAGTTGATTATATCTACATAATTTACTGTTTCCTGGAAGTAATGGAAGAAGGTAAAGGGTAACCCAGAAAACTGAAGCTTACTTTCCCAACCACTAAATATCCTGCCCAATTCCACTACTTTGGCAACCAAAAATAATGAAGCCACACCTTTCTGCTGACCCAAAAATTTATTCAAGGCTCTACAAAGCTTCTACAAAGCCAATGTTCTTCGTGGCTCCTCTCAAATCAAGTAATTCCTTCTTACAGAGGTCTAGCTATACCCCAAGGATGTTTAAGTGGTTAAAGTTGCATACAGGATTACAATTTAAATATCTTTTGCAGTATGTGTTACACGATATGCATTTAAAGCTTTGTTATACATTATTCTGTGTGGTCAAGCTGAAACCAACGTATAAGCCACCCTAATGGAGCTTTCAAGGGACATGAGAAATTGAAGGAATAGTTTTATGTATTCTTGTAGGTTTTCATGGCCAGAATCCGATGGTTGTTGTAGGCTTTTCGGGCTCCAGAACACGGCCAAACAGCCCGAAAAACCTACAACACCAAAGTACAATTTATCTTGCCGTACAAAGAGGAAGGGAACCCATAGAGCCTTCCAGGTCTCTCAAGCCCTACTCCTGTAAGTCCTCGCCCTACAGGCTGTTGGGGGCAGGGGAAGAGAGGAGCCCCTGCTGTTATTTCTCAACCAGTTGTCAGAATTAGCAGCAGCAGGGTGGGGGGTGGGGTGTCCCTGCAGTCACTCCTCCTCCCATCCATCTCTCAAAACCAGCCTTTCAGCTGGCTACTTCAGGCACCTCTCTTTTCTTGTCTGAAGAAGGGGTTGGAGGAGTGATGTCACACTTTCCCCCTTGAAGTGTGCTGGGTGGGAGAAGCTCCACTTGGCCTTTTAGGGAGAGATCTTGCAACATCAGAGGAGTCACCACCTATATCACCTGGTGTGAGTGTGGAGAGGAGAAAACCCCACCTGGCAGAAAACTCTGCCCACCCCAACAAGATGCTGAGATAGTCATCTTTGCGTTTCTCCCTCTTAGACAATTTCTCAATGAGAGGAGAAACAGTTTAGGTCTGGTTGTCAAATGAAGCTGGAATTTTCCACGGTCCCTACATGTAAGATGACTAATGCCTGTCACCTCTGCCATGAACACGCCTGTGCCATTAAGAGTCTGCGTGGACAGAGGGCAGGATTTCAGAAAACTTGCTTTACTTCCTTTGTTCATTTTAGTCTATAAAGGAAAGGTGGGCAAAAGGCACCCTTCCAGATATTGCAAGAATGCAACAACCATCAACCATAGCCAACATAGTCTATGATGAGGAAGGCTGGGAACTGCAGCCTAAAAAACATCTGGAGGGTCACATTCTGCCCACCCCCACTTTAAAGTCACTGGGGAATCTCCTTAATCAGCTTGACAAACTAAAGAAGACAGGATAACATGCCCGGCAAAGAGCAAGGAACAACATTTCACCACTTACCACCACTACAAAACCCTTAACTCAGTCCAAACCAAGTCTGTCTACAGGGTCTGTTACTCCCTCCTCATCACAATTCCCATTACCTGCTGCTTCCAGAGGAAGTCTAGACGGGCTGTAGACTCCACCTGCTGGGCATGCAGATAGAGGGCCAAAGCAAAAAGCAGCAGGATGATGGGCGTCATGTAACGCAGGGCCATTTTTTCCTCTTCATGGCTATAATCCGAAACAGGGGTGGGAGGCAGGAAAGAAACAAGGAGAAGAAGGGAAAGAAACAGGGTATCTATGTTTGTGCCCCCCATGCAGCTTTGTCTCATGAGGATCCTCATTCCTCAAACTCTACCAGCTCCAACAGAGCCCAAGAGCTTCCTGCTTTCTAAAAAGAACAGGAGCTGTGCTCTTAAGGCTGGAATGCCTTTCCACAAGGTGGCAACCATCGCTCACCATTTTTACTGAGGGATATGTAGGAAGGTGGTTGCATACATGGGAAGAATAAATATAAAGTGAGCTCATATCCATTCTTCGTTTCTAGCTCTTCCTCATATGAAGCCTTTGGAAAAACCCATTAGTCATCATTCCTAATTGAGATAAAATCCAAGTGTGTGTAGCTGAATTTACGTATACAGCATTGATCCCCTTTGCTTCCCACTCCCTTCTCATATTTTAGACCTACTCTAAACATGGGACTGTAGCCCCACAGGGTCTGCTACCCATCATATATGTACTTTGGTGCTGGTGACCCTATATCAGTGCTATGAGAGAGACGACATATCTGAAAATCCAGAAGTCTTCTGAACCTAAAACCCAACATTTCTCCAAAGCCAGGAACTCAGAAAAACCAAGATTTTGATGAGGAGTGGAAAGCATGTGGCCATCCAGATTTTGAAGAACTACAACTCCCATCAGTCCTAGTCGCCACAGCCAAAAGTAGAGAATTCTGGGAGTTGTAATCTGTACCTGGAGGGCCACAAGTTGTCCACCCATGGGTAAGGAGAATAAGTAAAACCTTCCCCCATTCCTGTTTTCATAAATACTACCTCTATTCCAAGGGACAAACAACAATAACAAGCAAACAAAAAACCCAACAACCTAGAAATACATAGAATCACAGATCTATCCTTTCCACAGATTCAACATCCTCTCCCATCAGTTTCTAGATACCCTCCACACACCCCACCATCCGGTCTTCCTTTCAGTCCATATCTGATTTCTACTCACCAGTCTTGACTGCTGTAGGTCTCATTTAAGGTGGGCCTGCAGTGGGGAAGGGAAGAGAAGAAGAGTTTCCAAAAGGAGAACAAAGTCACTGGACGACACCTTCCACTTGCCCCCCTTTGGCCGCTTCTCCCCTTGCTCACCCCCCATCCCATCCCATCCCATCCCATCCCCACCTCACCCAGCCTCCACAGGCTGAGGATTTCAATACCTGCCATGGCACCAGAGGTTCAGTTTGGGTCAGAAGCGAGGAAAAGGCCTGGGAGGCCACAAAGACAAAGGTTTGGGCTGGGAATAAGCCAAAGATTCACAGAGCTTATTCTGTGTGCTCTGTCATGGTCTCTCTCCTCTGTGGCCAAATTTACCTACTGATGGCTGTGGGGGGGGAGGGGGGAGTGAGGTCTGCAGACGGCACTGAAGGAAAAAAAGGCCACGTGAACAGATCCAAGGACATCCTGGTCTTTCATTCCTTGAGAGCAGTTTAGGACCCATGGCTATAAGATGAGATTCCTACCACCCCAAGGGGAAGTGTGGAGGGAGCTCTTACAAGATATTAGCAACCACGAGCAAGTCATAGTTGTCAAACAACATCCCGTGGGTGCCCTCTGCCAGCGCCAGGTACACGGCCTCCATCACCACCAACAAGGCCAGCTTCCCAAGGCTGCTGATGTGGAGGAAGACGGAGGAGGCCAGAAGACTCAGCAGCACCGAATAGGTGAAGTACTGCAAGCAAGGAGAAAAAGAGAACATGTCAAGACCTCCTTCTCATAACCAAATATATGCCCTGGCAACCCATCTTTTCCTCTCAGCTAGACAGACTTTCGCTCCGATTCAGAAAGCCGCCTGTGTTTTATTTCCCCTCCTCGTCTGCAGGGATATCTTTCAATACCACTGCTCAAACAGCTTCAATGGCACAAATGTACCTACCGATGCTCTTGCTCTCAAGATACTTCTGGGATGCTCATGGGGAGAAAAGAGGTTATCCTCTGAGTTATAATTAAATTATGATCATTGTGGTCCACAAAGTGCCACTCACCTATTCACCTCACCAAAACCGAAATAAAATAAATTTAAAAAAAACACTACCCCCATGCTTTAATCAGACCCCCATCCCTGCTTTTCCTCTACCTCTGACTCACTTTGTAGGAAACACCTACCTCAGGGAAGTCGCAACTAGAAATTCCATTTCCCTGGCAAGGCTGAGTATCTGACGCCAACGAGTAGTTGAGGGTATGAAGCTCGCAGGACCCCACGGCGGCTGGAGTAACGTTGAGAAATCCGGCAACGCAGTCTCGGAGCCAGAGCCGGCTGCAAGCAAACTAGGTTGAGGGGGGATAAAATGGCCAACCATGTAGGACTGATACGGAATTTAAGGTTCCTCTACTGTTCTGGAGCCATCCAATCTCTTAGCCCCATGACAGTGGGAACTATGGAGAGCCAGGGTCCAGAGCCCCTCTAAGATTGGAGACAGACAGGAGGATTTTCAGAAAGCTGAAACTGGCTCATAGTCGGTGCTTGGAAGCAAGAAGTAGCACATTTTCACAAGGAAAAGTGACTTTTTAAAAATCAGGGAGTAATGAAAGTTACATATCAAAAGCACACTAATGAGTGAGGACAGAGACACTTTGAAGATGCAACAGTAAAAGTAACTTTTCCTAGTTATCTGTTAAAATTTAAGGGCAGTTGTAGAAGCATCTTATGTCTCAGGAAATGGACTTGTCCATGAAAGCTCACATTAAAATGTAGAAGCTAGTCTTTAAGAAGCCACAACGTTTTTGTCTTCTTTATTTTTTCCCCCTTTTGTTTCTGCCTGACCTCACGAGGAGTTTTTTGAGTATTATGCCATGTTGGCAAAAGAAAAGGCGGCCGGGGAGGGGGATAAATACTGTAGCACTTTAAAGGTGTAAGAGTTTTATTTTGGTGTGCCCTTTCATAAATCAAAGTCCACCTCCTGAGAAACTGATGTGCAAACACACGACCCATGTATTCCCCCCCCCACATACCAAGTAAGGATACAGATAATAGACAAAGTGACCCTGGTTCATTAATGGGACTATCAAGGGACTATCAAGCTGTTAACGGCAAGGCAACAGATGTAGGCCAGGTGGACTTTGTATGTTTAAAAAGCAACAAGAAGTTACTGCAGAATTAAGGAGCAATACCAGAAGTAATGCCACAAGTTACTCTTTCTGTTTTGCAACAACGACAATCTATTACTCCTCAAATACATACCAAATTGTGAGTCTAAAATACTTTTAAAAATGTAACTTCTCAAAACTCTGTCCAAATAAATACGTCAAATAAATAGTGGATGCACCCTGTTCCTCTTTGCCTCTCTCTGGTTAACAGGATTTTGCCTCAATTCAAAACCTGTAACATTTTTATTTTGTTTTTGCCCAATACTGTAGCACTTGGTTAGCCAGAAGAGATAGCACAACAAGTTAATTCAGTTTGTGAGGATGTCATAGTGCCTCTCTCCAACACCTTCCACCTCTCTTTAAAAGCAAACATAGAATCATAGAATCATGGAGTTGAAGCCTATAAGGACATTGGGTCCAACCTGCCTGCTCAATGCAGGAATCCACACCAAAGCAGGCCTGACAGATGGTTGTCCAACCTCATGTTGTTGCCTCCAGCTTACAGGAAGCTTTGTACTCTTTTTTCCCTAGCTCTCACCAGACTTGGTTCTTCTATCACTGCCATTCCAGGTCTGAAGGCAAGCTCTTTCATGCCAAACCATCAGCAGCCACAACATCCCTCTCCCCTTTCCCTCCCAAGCCCTCCTTCATACCATGTTGATAAAGGCAGAGATAAAGACAAGCAGGATGGCAGCAACGCCGGTGATGGTGCTGTTGATTCGGGACTGGATGATCTTGCGAGAGAGACGCTGCAAAGCAGCTGGAAAGGGCTGTAGGGAGTCACAGATGGTGGCAGATGAGATGGAAGAATTCAGAAACCACCTCCACCACCCCAGTCTCCACCTGTTAAGATTCTAGAGGCTAGAACAAAACACCTCCAGAGCAAAACTCCCAGCCACCTCTACCAAACCCTATTACTCCTGGATCGTATGCCAGGACCCAAACTCACAGCAGATCCTGAACCTAAAAGGGACTCTCGACTACCTATACTCAGTGATTGGACCTACACTTGGCTTGCAGAAGCTCCCTCTTCGATCCTTGATCTTTCCAGCCAGGAAGACCAGGTTGCAAAGGACAGGAAAGGCTTCTATCTGCCCAAGGCCACTGGCAGAACAGCTGGTACTGGGCTATAGATACTGGGCTGGATTGATGAAACTGTGTTCTGTGTTCTGTTTCCAAATCTACCCTAAAGGGGGAAACTACAGGCAGATCCTGACAGACCAGCCCCCACCCCCCAAATACCTTAAATTACAAAAGGCCAAAAGACACTCTCAGGTCCCCATATCCAGACCAGGCTTGCTCTTTGGTTTGAGTGACAGGACCGTTCTCCAGCTGAGGTCTGAGGGGTGGTGGAAGCAAGGCCACAGCTGGGTGCTTGGGAGAAATCAGGGGTCACCTGTCCATGAGGTCCCAAGAAAGAGACAGAGGCACTCACGCCAAGGCAGGAATAGATAGCGCAGACAAAAAGGATGGTGGCCAGGATGATGAAAATGCTGATGTAGGCACCAAGCATCAGAGGAGAGCTGTGGGGAGATAGCACAGAATCAGCTGGCACTCAGGACACCACTGTAAAGTTGTTGTTTTTTTTACCAGACATCTGTTCCCTGTATAACTGATATTGTGTTGACTATATTATGACCATTTCTAGGACCTTCTGTTTTGTCTTATGGTGCTATATAGGAGGTGGAAGTGTTTAATTTATCAATGTTTTCCTCCTATATCGTGGACTACTTGGCTTTCCACCTATGGCTATCCCTTAGTTCTGGGATCAGCTTAGTTTTTGCTGAAAAATAACCTTTCATGCTCCTTTTTTGCAAGCTCAGAACTGAAACCTCTAACAATTCAGACTATTGTGCTAAATACTTTCCCCCCATGTCTTTGAGTTTTTAAAAGAATGACTCAAAAAGTCCTTTAGTGTCTTTTATATAGCTTGGAGGGCAATTTTTCCATGTTTTGAGGGGATCCCACAACCCTAAGGGTCCGCATTCCCTCTTTTTTTTTTTTAAGTAACATTATAGGCCACTATGGGGCACCCATTTTAGGGCATGGGGTTTGCAGTTCAGGGATGGGTAGATGCAGCCTGTGAACTTCTAGAGATAGTCTGCATGAGTTTATGGCATTTTCCCTTCTTTTCTATACTAGGTGGATAAAACTGTCCATAAATTTACAGTACAAGGGATGACAACATGGGATGACAATCAATTGATGCACCAGATTTAAAATATTTTATAGAAAATATATCCTAGAAATTGCCAGATGACACTGGCACAAATGGCTTTTGCACAAAAGGACAATTGCACAAATGGCTTTTGGTGTTTTTTGTGCTGTCTGTTGCACAATTTATTGCACAACCAGACCATGCAATGGACAGTGCATAAAACAGCACACACTGCTTGTGTGATTGCCCTTAAGAGTTTCATGACAGCAGCAGGACTCTGCCTCTAAAATAGAAAATGTTTTCAGCATGAAGCACCAGCTTTGGTCACAAGTATAACTAACTTCAGCAGATTCTTACCTGTGCTTCATAGAATCACAGAAAAGTGAACTTGGAAGGGGCCTACAAGGCCATCAAGTCCAACCTCCTGCTCAATGCAGGAATGCAATCAAAGCATATCTGGCAGGTGATTATCTAAGTTTTTCTTAAATGCCTCCAGTGTTGGAGCCCTCACCAACTCCCAAGCTAGCTGGTTCCATTGTCGTACTGCTCTAACAGTTAGGAAGTTTTTCCTGATATTCAACGGAAATCTGGCTTACTTTAACTTGAGCCCACTGTTGCGTGTCATGCACTCTGGGGTGACTGAGAACAGATCTTCCCCTCCTCTGTATGACAGCCTTTCAAATATTTGAAAAATGCTCTCATATCACCCCTCAGCCTTCTTTTCTCAAGGCTAAACATGGCCAATTCTTTCAGCCTTTCCTCCTAAGGCTCGGTTAACAAGCCTTGACAGCCACTCATGTCTCATGCCAAAATATCTCATATTTTATGCAGTTAATATTCTAAATACTTCATCTTGCATCTTCCAAATCTGATGCATGAGTTGATGGTCAGCATTTCTTGGAGTTAGAGAGTGCATCTATTAGCAGAAAGGCTGCATGTGCATACTCTCTTTCATTGCCTCAACAAAAATCCTGTAGAACTTTGCCTAGAACATTCATAGGGGAAATGGCTGCACTGAGATAATCCACAGAGCCCTAAAAACACCACGGGCATCGTTCAGTTTCCATTCAAATAACTGATCAGTGGTCCAATAGGCTCAAGCAATATGAATATGACTTTTTAAAGTTTTCCCACTGCTTACTGTGGAGCGGCCTTCCTCAGCCTGGTGCCTTCCAGATCATCCTGGATCTCTTCTCCTAGTACTCTCACTCTGCCTGATGTGAAATGGGGTCCCACAAAACCTACAGCACACCAGGCTGGGAAAATTTGCCCCGCAGCTCCAAGGCAGGCTTAATTGGGAGTCAGTGCCCTGGGAAATGTGACATCATTGTACACGGTGTAGGACCTCTCAAAGAATGCTCTTGGGACTACTCATCTGTAGATACCAGTGGGGGTGCATCAATGTGCAACATGATGGTTGAGTGTCACAAACATATCCCCCACAACACGACCTAGGGTCCTGTGGTGTATATCTGCACCACGCATGAGTGTGAGCACTTGTGCATGTGCACATGCATATTTTCATAGGGAGTACCTGGTCACCATACTCTTGCATACGTGTCACTCACTGTGGGAAGATGACAACCTGGATGCAGCAAATGAAGCAGAAGACAAGCACGGTGCAAGCCACATAGCCTCCAAAGCGGGTGTCCACTTTCTTGGAATACTGCAG